AAGGCAACTCATCTCATCTGAGATAGGCATCTGAAAGAGGTGTTATGATTCATCCTCTGGAGGTAACAGCCTCTTCGTTGAGGATGCAGCCAGACTACATGCCTGACTTTCAGTTAGCAAAGTTAGAGATGAGTCCTCCTTTCACTGTCCTTTTGTCTGGGGAGTTGCTGCTTCCTTCTGATCTTTGCTGTGATCCTGTATCAAAGCATCTGCAATCAGTTTCTTGAAGTATCTTCACAAGGCCACATCCATAGAAGAGAGGTGTTGAATAATGACCGCAGTCCCAAGATATAATTTCCTTCTTGAATCCTGGCGCAGTTGTCATATTCTTTTCCTGTTCTTTAGCAGCTTTCTTCATGACTCCTCTTCTCTGTTGCCTTTCACTATCCAGTTGCCAACACAACCAGTGTGGTGCTGATATGTGACAGCAGGATATAAGCCCCCAACATAAGCAGGACGTGGACCTGTTGGATCAAGTCCAGAGGAGGGCCATGAAGATGATCAGAGGGCTGGAGCACCTCTCCTATGAATAATACTTTTCCCTGTCTTTTTCTTGTGGCCTGGTCCCTGCCTGAGCTTTGTCTTCCGGGAAACAAAAGTACAATATCCTCAAATTTCTAGGACATTTGAAATAAGTTAGTGCATGTTTATGGCACTAGATTTTCTTTATAAATTATAAGCCGTTGGTCAAACGAACATTTTAAATATATTTTGCTTAAATGACAGTTGTTAACCTTCCTGGTAATCGAGCCCTGGGCAAAGAGGCAGAGGCACTCAATCAGTGCGAATATTCAGCAGCAATCTAAAGGGATCTTTCAACATTTAAATAAGTGAAGATACGTCAGGGTAGTAGTGAGACAATAGAGTAATGAATCAGGCCCCTGGGTTTTTCTGGTTCCTGCCAAGTATAGGTATACACGGAAGTAATAAAGCAAGAAAATAAGTATTTGGATCTTAAGCGATGTTTTGCAGAAGACCAAGTGATTGCTTTGTGACTCAGAAAAGTCTCAGTTCTGAAATATGGTGAAAAACAGAACTGGAAAAACATTTTAACCTTTAAGATCTTTTTCTGGGGGAAAAATTCACATTAAGCGATGTTTGTGAGTTTATATTGACTTTGGTAAATTGTTCATTTGAAGAGTGGGGCCCTCTCCCAAATAAAAATTCAAGAAAATACTTTTAATATTTTTTTCTGGAATTTTTATTTTGTTAAAGATATCTAAGAAATACATTGGCATGCAGATTACTTGGAATTTTCTCCCTTTTCCATTAAACCAAAACTGCTTTTGGTTTAAACTAGGAAGAATTTTTATGATATATTCTTTGGCCTTACTGGTGAACAGAATCTGTATAAAAGACTTGGGATAAATCAGTGGGTTTTGCTGCCAGAAAGCTTGTACCATGCCAGATTTCCAACGCTAGCTCATACAAACTAGCTCCTGGACTCTGGCAGGAGATAGCAACTTGTGGTTTTATGCATCCCGAGATGTGTGATATGGCTGGTGATACAGACAAACCGGTGCTCTTGAAGTTTGTGCTCTTGAGTTTGAAGTATGGGAGGACTGCGATGAGGAGCTAATTCCTTAGCTCCCTACAATGGCGAGAAAGAGAAGATGAGTGAGCAGGCTTGTTGGACCACCTTCGCCTTTCCCTGCAGCAGAGGGGGAAAGAGACTTTTTATCTAGTGAAATGACTCACATTTTCTGTTCTTTAGGTAAACGTGCGGGGCTTTTAATATCTAAACTCCTTTATTGATACTGTTTTGCCAGGATAATTGTTTAAATAAGCTAGAATAACTGGCACTCGAATGATAAGACCTACTGTCCCGTCAGTCAGTGCTGGAGGCCAGAAGATGCCCTCCCTGACCCAGAAGGACATGTGAGCTGAGCAGGCAGGACGTAAAACCCCTTCTCACTTATCTCTTTATGTGTTGGTGAGGAGCAGACCCGGGATTTGCTTTCAGGAAGTAAAAGGTCTCTGTTTCTTCACCAATTCCCAGCAAGGATGGGCACGTTGCTTGCCCTCTGGCCCTCCTGCATCTCTGCTGGTGTGGCATTAAGGGAGGAGGAAGACTGGAAAAAGGGAGTTGGGGGTAAATAAGGCAGTGGGTGACAAATTTATGTGGGGCCTAACTGGGGATGAGAAAATTTAATATGATTATATTAATTGTTACCGTTTTCTGAAAATGCAAATTTCTACTCAAACCGGCACTGATATGGAAACCCAGAGTGACAAGGGTTGCGCAATTAAATTCTTCCATTTCTTTCATCCAAGGCAGTGTCCTGCCAGCCCATTGTCTACCAACAGCTAATGATTCTGGGTAAACGAAGCTGTAATTTGCTGCAGAGTGAGCCAGGCAGAGAACAGGGAGACGGATGGGCCGCGCAGTGGGTCAGACAGAGGGGCTCAGCTCCAGCGTTTCAGGCGGTGTCTGGAAGGGGAATGTGAAAAGTTCCCTCTTCTCCAACAGCAGCTGGAGAAGGTTACCTGGGTATATTTCCTTTAATGCATCAGGATCTATTGTGTGTGCGGCCACTCTGCTGGCGGAAGAGTTTTGTGGCAATTTCAGTGCCATGAGTATTTCTTTCTGACTTTTCTTTTTCCCCTTGCAGCGCTGGTGATGGTCCTGAATAGCACGAGTGTCAGCTGGAGCGCCCGCATTCAGATTTTCCTTACCTTTTGCAAGCTTGTAGCAATTCTGATAATTATAGTCCCTGGAGTTATCCAGCTAATTAAAGGTATGAAATGAAAAGTAAATGCTTTTAAAGTGCTTTTATCTTCACCCTCCCAAGTCTTTCCCCACCTGCCTCTGTGAAATAATGCTTATAGCAGCAAAAAGATCTCTTAATTAGTATGCGCTTGTTTAACTGAAGCTCTGTACTGTCATGTAATTGATTAGAAGTGGAACTACACTGGGATGAACTGGTATTTCCTTCAGCATGCCAATGAGTCTATTCAGATCAGAATCGGTTTTCAAATGAGCGATGTGATTGCTCTTCTCTGTAATTTGCCTTTGGGGTGAACTTTGCAGAGGGGGTTGTGCTGATAGATGGACGTACCCCTCCCCACAGCACGTGTCGGTCTCCTTTAGCTGGGCTAGCGCCTAGTCCTCTTCGGTACTGGGTATGTGGTGGAGGAGAGGGCTGAGAATTGGGGAATAAATGAAAGAAACAGTATCATGGATGCTGTTCTACTGCTTTAGTGCATGCCTGTCTCCTTTAGCTGGGCTAGTGCCTAGTCTTGTTCGGTATTAGCTATGTGGTGGTGGTAAAGGCTCAAAATTGGGGAACATATGAAAGAAACAGTAGCATGGATGCTGTTCTACCGCTTTGGTGATGTAAGTTGCGAAGTCAGAAATGCCGTACTGGCAAGAGAAACTGTAGTCAGCTATTGCTTTCATGGGCTTCCTGCCTGCAAGGACTGGATGCTTAAGTTGCATGCATGCTTCCAAGTGAAAAACTAAAGCATACAGCTAGAGGCAGTAGTCTTGGGGGTAACCCAAGCATAGGAAAGGAGAGCAGAAGTGTTTGGAAGGCCAGAATTACTACTGTACTGACTTCATCAATGTTGCCGCACAAGCAAGTTGTCCTCCCCAGCAGGGACATGGCTCCTCAGGCCTTTCCTTGGCGCTCTGGAGGTCATTTGGGTAAAGTCATGCTGGCAGAGAAACTCTTTTCACTGACATACGCTCAGCCACCTGAAGAGGCTTTTCCATTACAGCCCCATCAGCAGCGGGGGTGAGATGGTGACAAGCCCCAGCTCGCTCTCCTCACAGTCACGCCAGACAGTAACTGCACAAAGCACGAGGAGCCATTCAGCGCAGAGGGTCAGGACGGGGCGCACTTGATAATGAATTGCTGGCAGATTTTATCTAACAAAAATTATCACAGTGGTCGGCTCAGTCCCTGGCGATGCTCTTTTATGATGCTTCACAAGGCCTCCCATCTGAGTCACCAGCACCGTACTGGGCTCTGCGGTGAGCTCAGCTTCTCAGGGACAGGCTGTGGTTAGCAATAGACTCTGCAATAAAAGTTTTTCCTGTGTAGCGCTCTGCTGATTCACTATTTCTGTTTTCATGTTTTTCACTTCCCTTCTGGCAGTTGGAATGCCTCTTCCCTCCCCTCCTTTTATGTGCAAAGTTTCTCTCTGTTCCCATTCGCCCCGTTTTTCCCAGACCTTTGGAGCAGGCCAGACCCAGCTTTGGATGGGGTTTGCTGCCCTTAAGTAGCTCAAATAGTGTCCCTGATTTCCCACTGGGACCTTCCTCTGGCCACAGCTTGTCCCTTACCCAAAAAGCCCCTGCTTCAGTGGGAACTTGACTGAGGGCTCGGTAAAAACCGAGTTAAGGGTAGAGGATTTGACCCACTGATAATTAAATCTGAATAAATTCTGCTTCTTGCTGCTCCTTTTCTGTGGAGTACCATAGCTTCTCAGGAAATTTGGGATATTTTAGGGAGGTCTTACGAACCATAGAATACCTTGTAAATGAGTAAGAGCGTAACACAACTCTTGCATGTTTGTATTTCTAGATCTCTCTCTATATATAATTTTCACTTAGTGTAATATTAATACAGTACTGACTGTAGTGTGGTAGGGAGTTACTAAATTTTTTCAGTGGAAGAAATATTTAAAGTATTGGGTTTGTTTACCTTGAAAATGTTGCCGGTGAGTGAAATTCTAGCAATGCTCCTTCTGATTAAAACGTTAAACAAGTGAAATTTTCCACAGCAAAAACTACTGAGCTCATTCTGCTCCTTCATGTTGAGGTAAGTCACTGCTGAGGATGACAGTGCAGCAAGCGTCATAAAGCTCAGAATGCTCTGAAAAAAACCTAATAGGTCAAATTCTGCAATTGCATGACTAGGAACGCCACAAAAGCTTTTACAATTGCTGGCAGATTACTGCTGCAAGGGTTGGGTCAGAAATTAAGGTGAAGGGCAGAACTTGAAGTCAGCGAACTGTTGGGTGATTAAATGTTCCATGGTGTGATATATTTATTTGTTTTAAAGTAGTAGGTGACCAAAGAACTTATTTTTCAATATTGCTTTTGTTGATGTTGCAGGAGAAACACAACACTTTAAAAATGCCTTTGCGGGGAATGATGCCAGCGTTATGGGATTGCCACTCGCTTTCTATTCAGGAATGTACGCCTATTCAGGCTGGTAAGTTGACACCTATAAGTATTTGTCCTGAAAACAAACACTAATGTGTTCTAACAAAGACATTTATTTATATGAAGAAATGAGTAGCTTGTTCGACATCTTTTGCCAAACTACATCGTGTAGTAAGGGTAGATCCTCACCACTGTTCCGTATGCTCAGTAGTTAATCTGCAAGTAACTCTACAAAGGAAAGATTTTTCTTCTCCAGTGTACGACAGGTAAACACTCGCTGAACACTGAAAAAATCAGACTTTTCTTTCTGTTGTTAAGACTAGAAATAAAGGCAACAGGAAAGGAATGTTCCTATTTTTTCATTAGGTGTTTTGATAAAAGGGATAATGAAGCTTTAATTTTTGTTGAACAAGTCAATAATTGCATGAAAAACAACTGTAGGAACTGTTACAAAGTTGTGTGGACCTCAGCCTTTGCTTTGTAAAAGCTGTATTTGAAGAGTAAGAAGTAAACCACACTGACATCAGTAAAGACCACAAAACAAGGTAAAAATAACCAGATTCTTATGCCTCTTGCTCTGAGGGATTTGGACCTCACTTAACAAGAAGTGCAACTGGCTTCCACAGAAGTCAGGTGCTATTGACTGTGAGCAAAAGTGTGAGAATCTGCCTTCAAGTATCCCGCTCAGAACTTTCTTTCAACTTCGTTCCCCCTCACCCCCCCACCAAAGTACGCAGCAGCTGGTTTGAAAGGTGCCGCCGCTCTTCGAATCTGCCTCACGATTTATTCCTCCTTAGCGAGGGCTCCACATTGCACAGCGCCAACGTGCTCTTGCAGCAGCGGCGTGGGGGCACAAAAAGAAAAGACTACAAATGCACAGAGTGGGCTTATTTTGAGATAGCTTTGTCTGCAGGTCTTCCCTTTCCATAGCCTCACAGACAGCCAGGTTCTTTGCCTCGAACAAAAGGCGAGGGCTTGAGAGATAAGGGGTTTATTTATTTAATTCGGAGCGACAATGGGTTCTCTGCCTGTCTGTAACTCCCTGGTTGCAGGAGCATTATAAACATTGACACTGAAGAACTGAACGGAACTTTTCTATTAAATGGTGTGGGGGGGAAAACCCAAGAGAGTCCAAAGCCTTTATCTGTGATAGATATATAAGAAAAAAAGCCTGGCATTTGGAAGCCTCAAAGAAATTGAACTCATTATGTGGACAGTCTCTACCTTCTTCCCTCTCTCATATAACTGCCTCTGTCTCTCATGTCCACACGTGATGGTTTCTCACTTTGAAAGTATTAACCTAACTGTACGGTTTTGTATGAAGGCAATTTTAAAAACTCTTTAATATTATTCATCACCGAGGCAGAGTTTGTTTACTGTAAAATGCTACATCAAAAATACTGTTATTCTGTTGCTTCTTTCCCATTTCTTTCCATTTTCATGTTCCAAACCCCTACAATAAAAATCATCTCACTTTTTCCTTTACACCTTCTGACTTTTATTTCAAGGTCCTTATTTGCCACTTATAAAAGAAATTAGCAGGAAAAGACCTAATTTGGCTAGTGGTTCTTCCCACCCGCCTATTTGTCTCTGTCACCAGCTCAAATTGATTGCCTCGGAGCACAGAAGAGCAGACCATTAAGTGGAGTGTCAATACCCTTGCGCTATCAGTTTCGTGGGGCTAAATCAATCCAATAAGGTGAATGTGAAGGAGTGTTACAAGTGTTGGTGCTACGTCCCAGGATGCAGGCAGAATTTTATGCATAGCCTATGAGACTATTCACCTTTAATGATACAGCTTTAAAGGACAAAACGATGGTAGTATCCTTTATATGTGTGGGTTCATTCTGCAAAGAGTAAGTGGAGACTATTGGGTGTATAAAATGCTGGATGAAAGAGGAAAAGTAGAGAAAAGAATGCAAGGAAGCATGCCTTCGCATCAATAAAAGGACTGATGCAGGGCTGTCAAATTACTTCTCTCTGGAAGTAGGACTAAGACGAGAAAGAAGTAGCTGAACGTCTTACTTGGCAGAAGCCGTCTCTCCTTTGAACTATCCCAGTCTCTTCTTTTGTGCTCTGCGCGCTAGCACGTTTAGAAACAAGCGGTGAGGTGGTTGTGTGAGATGGCAAATCTAGTTTTACAGAATTTCATGCTGGGTCACAAAATAACATTTTTTAAAACCGTGAGCCAGCGCTAACTTCTTCTGCTAACCCAGATCTGGTCCAAGGCTTGTGACGGAGAAGAGTTCCCAGACTTTCTGCCAGATCAGGTACCATTTGGTTGTTCACTGCAGCGCTGTTGGGTCGGATAACATTTGCCTTCCTGTATAAAAGTAGAAAGCCAGCTTAAGCACTGTATTGACTGCTCTGTTTAATTAGCTGGGATGTGACTTTGTGCCCGTATCTGAGCCAGGCACATCTGTGTGATCCAGCAATACACAGACTTAGTGCTAATAAACGCAGAACAGAGGGTTCAGTGACCTTGAGGCTTTACAGTTGCTTTGTATGCAGGGCTGTGCCCGGTGAGTAGTTCCGATGAATTCCCATACGTAGCAGTCTCTTGCACGTTGCTGGAATACGACCGGAGCGCAACCTGTACTGGAGGTTGTGCAAGAGCATGCAGGATTAGCAGCCTGGGTTTGCGATCGTATATGACACACTAGTGTCAAAATCCGGGTTTTAGGACGGGTTTTTTTGAGGCTTCATTTATTTTTATTGTTAAGAAGTCCTTGCTGAGTACCCTGATGAGAATTTTTTTGCCGATATAGCCTGAAGTTGTAAAAGGCTACAGCCACAAATGGAATATGAGGCTTGAGGGTGCGCTTGCGTTTGTGTATAGAATTAGGGTAAACCATAACTTGCCTTGTATGCCGGGGGGGGTGGGAAATGTAATTCCACACAGGCATTTTGTAGCTTTTTTCTTTTTTCTGCTTTGCACTCTTTTCTGAGAATTCCCTTCCTAAGTGTGGGGATGAGGGAAGATTAAATCTCGCACTTTCCTTAACCCAAACATGAGTCTGTGAAGTCTACTATAATCAACAGCAGCGCTTAACTAAAATAATCTTCTTGATTCTTTGGGAAAGAAATACAGAATCAAAATCTACCGAGCCCTCGTAACACATTTTATAACTCTCTTCTAGGTTTTACCTCAATTTCGTTACTGAAGAAGTGGAAAACCCTGAGAAGTATGTACCTATTATTTTTCTTGACTTCTGAAAAATAGTTGTAAAATTTAAAATGCTATAAAAGTAGTGATCTTCAGAAATTCTGCATGCTGGTCAAGTTGCTGGCTTTCCAGCAGATCTGGTAGTTATTGGAATTGCAACTGCTTGAAGATTTGCTATTTTTGGCCTGTCATGACCTTGTTATGTATTCTGCTTTTATGTGCCCGGAAAGCAGAAAAGTAAGTAGATCTCCAGGGCTCTGACTCTCCCCCTCAGGATACAAGTAACTATCAGTGCGCTCCTTTCAGTGGAAGTTACTGGTATCCTGTCAGGGAAATCTTGCCCAAGAAACTTATCCGCTGCAATATTTGGCAGTTTTTCTATGTTTAAATATTAATCAAATACTTAGTTCTACTTGTTTTAGATGTCTCAGGGTTGCAGGATCTTGAATACACATAGCACAGCATCCGATCCAATTAAGCCAAACAGGGGATATTGGTGGGAGTCTGTTTCAAACCAGAGATGAAAACTCTCACAGTGCCTGTCTGTAAAATATGGAAAGAAAAGCTGTCCTGTTAGGGAGAGAGTTTGATTTGGCAGATCTATTTTGCTTGATAAGTTTCAGTGCATGCGGCCAGTAATGAAACAATATTAACCTTTTCTAAAAATTAAAGAAAATATGCCCTGTCAAATCAAATTGTGGTCTTTGGGGAAGCTAACAATTTACGTGATTAAAAATTAATGGGTAGATATCATTTCTTTTGGTTTTTAAAATATGATACCTGGCTGGGTACCAGATAACTTCCTGTACCAAAGACCCCCAGCGCTGTACACTCAGAGAACATGAAGCTACATATTTGAGATATGTAGAAAAAGAAAAAAAAAAAAAGAAAACCAGCCATCAATGGGGAGCATGCAGAAGGTTTTTAGCTGGTTTCTTCAAAGTCTGAACCAAGCCTGGGGAGGTGTTTGGTATTTTCTTCAGAGATCTGAAAATAATTATTAAAAAATTGATGATAAAATGTGAGGGTGGCAGAGAGACTGGCAAATTTCCCTTGTTTCAATGTTTTTGAGGGGTCTTGGGTGTTAACAGGCTCTTTAATATAATCAGGATATGTATACCGAGGAATGTACAACTGGAAGTTGAAACCAGACAAATGCAGGTAGAAAATACAGCATTAATATTTAACAAGGTGGTTGACGAATCGTTAGCAGGGAGACCTACATAAAGCTGGGTTTTTCATTGGTAGTCTTCATCTCAGATGGGACACCTTTTTATGAGCTGTGCTTTAGTAAAACACGAGTCATTTGGCTCGGCGGAGAGCAGCTGGCTAACGCGTCCCAGGCCTGGGATATGCAGGAATTCAGGCTGGATGATCTAGTAGTAAATCTGGGGTTAACTACCAAGGATCTGTGTGCTTCATGAAGTCAGCGAAGGCAGACATTTAAAAAAAAAAAAACCAAAACAAATCCAAAACACTTTTTTATTTTTACTTTTGAAAAATCATTGTATGGCAGACTGACTTGAAAAGAAATACGAAACTGAATAAAGAAGTGAAGTGATTGTGGTCCAAGACTTGTCCTGCTTCAGGAAATTTTGGGGATGGGTTAGGAGCCAGAGTCTTGGTGATATGATCAAAAGCATTTGCTAGAAGCAATGTAATTTTTAAATTATCATGTGGTTGCCATCAATACTGTGTGATGCTTTTTGACATGCACATGCCTACCACCCTTTGCGACTTTTTATACACTTATGTTTCTCTGCAGTCCTCTTAACTGTATGGTGATTAACTGAAATTATTGGTAATTTTCATTACAGATATTTTGGTTTATGTTGACTCTTTTTTTTCTTGCGGTCTTATTCAGAGGAGTGCATATTTTTGAACATGTTGCCCTCTGCTGTGTAGGACAGAAAGTCATAGTTCCTTTTTTTTTTTTTTTTAAACACTCTTTTAGGGAGGGGGTATACGGGCT